AACCGAGGGACTAAATCTGTCCCTGAACATTCACCTTTCATTTCAATTTCATCATTTTTCATACAACTTTTGTCTCCACTCACAGAAGTTCAGCACAAGTTCGGGTTCTCTTCAGGTTCTCTTCAGGTTCTCTTCAGGTTCTCTTCTGGTTCTCTTCTGGCTCTGTCCTGGTTCCTTTCTGGTTCTTTTCTGGTTTTCTTCTGGTTCTTTTCTGGTTCCATCCAGTAAAATAAACATTACTCCACCACACTGACCCTCCGTTCCCGCCCTGAGTCCTGTGCTAGATTGCAGCTCTTCCTGAGTTCAGTTAGTTTAAACCCCCTGAAGTTTGACAGTTGGGTCGAGTTACAGCGAGCGGGGAGGTGTTGTGTTTTCTGTGGAGTCGAGGGGGTCTGAACAGAACCTGGGCTTTCTGCTGAGTCAGGCTTTTGGTTTGTGTGGAGCAGCGTGAGCTCTCGTAGCTCGCTGAGGGGATCCACAGATTTCAGGTTCAGAGCAAACAAATGATAAACTGCTGCTGGCTTTGGACGGACATCGGATAGTCGACACCTCCGCTCCTCTGAGGCTGCAGTCCACATTAAACAGCTCTTCTGCCTGTAGGTCTGTCTGTCTGTCTGTCTGTCTGCCTGCCTGCCTGCCTGCCTGCCTGCCTGTCTGTCTGTCTGTCTGTCTGTCTGTCTGTCTGTCTGCCTGCCTGCCTGCCTGCCTGTCTGTCTGCCTGCCTGCCTGCCTGCCTGCCTGCCTGTCTGTCTGTCTGTCTGTCTGTCTGCCTGCCTGCCTGCCTGCCTGCCTGCCTGTCTGTCTGTCTGTCTGTCTGTCTGTAAAATGTGTTTGCTGGTTCCTGAAAGTCAACAATAACAATATAAAAGTAATGTTATAAACACAGTAGGGATTTAAAATTCTTCTGAAGATATCGAACAGAAGTAATAAATGATTCGCTGTAACAGGTAACGTCTATCTATCTATCTATCTATCTATCTATCTATCTATCTATCTATCTATCTATCTATCTATCTATCTATCTATCTATCTATCAAATTCAAATTCAAATTCAAATTCAAAATGGGCTTTATTGGCATGAAAGTTTTTTTAAAACAATATTTGGAACCAACAACTTAAATAAATGTTTCTATATTACCAAAGCATTTAGAGAACATCTCAAATACAACTAAATCAAAGATATAACCACATTATGTTTTTTTTTTTTTTTTTTTTTTTTTTTTTTTTTTTTTTTTTTTGGTTTTTTTTTTTTTTTGGTGTTTTTTTTTTTTATTTGTTTTTTTTTTTTTTTTTTTTCTTTGAAAGGAGGGAGATTTTCTCCTCTTTTATAATCTCTTTTAAGGGCAAGATAACATTCCAATCTATTTTAGTTACCACTATACTCTGTGTGTGTGTGTGTGTGTGTGTGTGTGTTGTGTGTGTCTGAGGGGGGGGGTTGGCTTAATTACAAATTGAAAAGGGGGCTTTTTTTTGGGGTCAGCTCTTTGGTTTTGGGGGGTTTTGAGTGGAGGGTGTGTCTGGGGCTGGATTGGTGGTAAGAAGTTGTGCTCTCTTCTGAATGTCAATTTCTAGCTGATCTTTTTTTTTTTTTTTTTTTTTTTTTTTTTTTTTTTTTTTTTTTTTTTTTTTTTTTTTTTTTTTTTTTTTTTTTTTTTTTTTTTTTTTTTTTTTTTTTTTTTTTTTTTTTTTTTTTTTTTTTTTTTTTTTTTTTTTTTTTTTTTTTTTTTTTTTTTTTTTTTTTTTTTTTTTTTTTTTTTTTTTTTTTTTTTTTTTTTTTTTTTTTTTTTTTTTTTTTTTTTTTTTTTTTTTTTTTTTTTTTTTTTTTTTTTTTTTTTTTTTTTTTTTTTTTTTTTTTTTTTTTTTTTTTTTTTTTTTTTTTTTTTTTTTTTTTTTTTTTTTTTTTTTTTTTTTTTTTTTTTTTTTTTTTTTTTTTTTTTTTTTTTTTTTTTTTTTTTTTTTTTTTTTTTTTTTTTTTTTTTTTTTTTTTTTTTTTTTTTTATTTTTTTTTTTTTTTATAAAAATTTTTTTTAATTCCAAAACTTTTTTTTTAATTTTAAAATTTTTTTTTTTTTTAAATTGTTTTTTTTTTTTTTTAAAATTTTTTTTTTTTTTTATTAATTTTTTTTTTTTTTAAAATAATTTTTCCCCGTTTTTTTTTAAAAAATTTTTAAATTGTTTTTTTCCGTTCTCATTATGACAGTTTACTCTGTAAATGTTTTCCAATGCAAAAAAATCAGATCTTGGTGACACTACCTGAAAATAACTGAAAGTAACTGAGTACAAGACACTGAATATGTATGCTTCACATTTTTACTGCATATGCTCTTTGCAATTCTAATTTGTTCACAGCATTGTGCAAAAGAAAAAATACACCCTTATTTACAACAAACATAAACTCCCTTTGGGTAGAGCTGTGCATAACTGTAAACAATATTGCAGTACATATTGGAACTGAACATACAACATACATAGTACTGTAAATCATTCATGCACATCCAGACGTTCCTCTCTGTCTGGCCACATAGTGTCATCTACATCACGGCGAATATCATCTCTTGCAATGCAGCGAGGAAAGTATCTCCTCGAGTGGCGAATCCACCCTCTGCAGGACTCTGCTGTGATGTCATTACATGCTGCATCCATGGCCACTAGCAGGGCCATTTGGGTATGTGGATGCCGGTCATATACCTTCCACCTCCAGGAAGAGAAAAATTCCTCTATTGGATTTAGGAATGGTGAGTAGGGAGGGAGATATTCCACCAGCATCCTATCGTGTGCTGCAAACCACTGATGACATCTGAGTGGTGAAAACTCACATTATCCCAAACAACAACATGCTTATTCAGATGGTCTCCAGTTAGACCCCTCTCATTCTCAGGGATTATGTCCCTGTAAAGAGTGTCTAAAAAAGTCAGCAGATGTTGAGTGTTGTATGGACCAAGCCGGGGGATATGGGTGAAGACGCCGTTTTCTGAGACGGCTGCACACATAGTAATATTCCCTCCTCGTTGGCCTGGGACATCAATGGTTGCTCTCTGTCCAATGCGATTCCTTCCACGTCTTCTATCTTTTGCCAGACTGAAACCCGCCTCATCAAGGTATATGAATGTGTGCAGCGGTTCCCTGGCCTCCAGCTCCAGTACACGCTTTATTACAGAAGAGGGAGCGAGAAAAACTATAACAACTTTTCCTGTGTAACATAATGCATTTTGGACAACATATTGTACAGTATGCACTGTGAATACACTGTATAGAACTGTCATGTAAGTGTAGTGCATTTACACAAAGTAAACAGTTAACAGCACTGAACATTAGAGTATGCATAGAACACATACATGTTTTACCTGTACATACTGGTGACGGATCTCCTTCACTCTGTCGCTGTTCCGTGTAAATGGCACATTGTACAATTGTTTCATGCGCATTTCATTTCTCCTGAGCACTCTGTCAACTGTAGCGATTGAAACAGATTCAATATTCCCAAAGATGTTGTCATCCTCTATAACAGCACTTTGTATCTCTCTCAGCCTTATGGCATTGTTTGCAATCACCATTGCACAAATGGCTTCCTCTTGTTGCGGAGTAAAAAGGGGCCCTCTTCCACCTCTGCAAGGTTGCAATACACTAAATCTGTGATGCACTAAAGCTGTAAGTCTAAATGTAAAATGTAAAAAGTGACAAGTTCTTGTCCCACTGCAAGCTTCATGTATGACACAATGACAGTAGCACAGTGCAGATTGTTTGGTGCTGAATTACTGTCCGTTTATACACACCTGTTCTCCCGACGAAATGTTTGAATCATTGAATTTACAGTGGTTCTCCCAACATTTGGCTGCACCCTTCGACCAACCTCAGCCATTGTGAGGCCGTGATTAACAACGTGATCCACAATTGTAGCCCTGATTTCATTAGGAATCCGCATATGTACTTGGCCTCTTCTTCCTCTTCCCCTGTTTTGTCCCCTTCCCCTTCCTCCCCGCACCCTCACCTCTCTTCCACGAGGCTGACCTTCCATTTCTGTGTCACAGTATTGTAGAAATGGTACACACTATGTCCTGCTTGGTTCGTATATGCTTGTGAAGTGGGGGTTTATGGGACTCAGCTCTGAATGATTGTAGAGAAGTGACTTATCATTGGTTGCAACTAATGCTTCACACACCCCTTCTCATCAGTGAAAGCTGAGGTTCACCTGAGAGAATTTTTCATTGTTGTTGACTATTCAGCATTCACAAGTATAGTTAATTTTGACTGACATGACATAAGCAAATGATAATGTTATAAAACAGCAGAGAGTTGTCTGAAAGCAATTGATGCATGTTCAAAAGCATTTGCAGTTTATTGGAAGGAATGAGAAACTGCTACTACGATGTGCACAAAAGACTAAATGTTGTGGAGGTTGAACTAACTGTTGTGCAAATGTTAATAGTGATGTGAGAAATGCACCAAAGCGACTGAGAAAAACTGTAAGACTATATTTCTGATATTTCCTTACTCCTGTTTATTAATTCAATTCAATTCAGTTTTATTTGTATAGCGCCAATTCATAACAGAAGTTATCTCAGGACACTTTTCAAATAGAGCAGGTCTAGACCGAACTCTTTAACATTATTTACAGAGACCCAACAGTACCACCATGAGCAAGACCTTGGAGACAAGGGCAAGGAAAACACTGCCTGTTAAAAGGCAGAAACCTAGGACAGATCCTCCGGCTCTAGGTGGGTGATCGTCTGTCTCGACCAGTTGGGGTGAGAGAGAGAGAGGCAGAGAGAGAGAGAGAGACAGACAGACAGACAGACAGACAGGAAGCTGGTTCCACAGGAGAGGAGGTAACTGAAGGCTCTGGCTCCTGTTCTACTGTATTCAGGGATTTAACTTATTGCTTATATATATATATTTGTATTAATATTATTATTATTATTATAGATGTAATAACATTGATTTAAATTAAATTTTAAAAACGAATAGATAAATAAATCCTGAGGTTAAGAAGTGTTCAGCCGCTACGTTTGTCCCTCTGCGCCTCCCGTAGTTATAGTACAAACATGGCGTCCGACAGTGACAGCGACGAGGACTTTGTGAGTTACGGGACTCCGCTGGAGCCTCTGGAGGAAGGTAGAGTTGGTGAAACCCCCTCATTAATCTGTCCGGTAGCACTTTAACACTTCCCGGTGGTTTCATTTGAGCCACGAAGCTTCCCGCGGGAACTTTAGCCCGCTAAGCTAACGAGCAGCTAGCTCCAGCTAGCTCCCCGCGTTGTACACCAGACTCCATTCAAATATCGGCCCGTTTTATAACGTCGTGTTACCGGCTGAGTGAACGGACTCTGTGAATGTCAGTTAATATATTTTATAAATCATAACCGTCCGTTTGTTGGTTCGGCTGATAATGATTCTCAAACCAGCAAATAATTTAATTCAAAAGTTCAAACTTTCTAAAAAAATCTGCTTCTTAACCTTTAACTTTATTTATGTGTTTTTTAGTGTCAGTTTTCTGTAGTAAAGTAAAGTTGTGGATGAAGACGGAGGCAGTAACACTTTCTGTTGTAGTAGATGTGCTATATATATATATAATAATATATATAATATAATAATATATTCGTATATAATCCTGATTACCTCAACCTCTGCCAGTAAACGAGGGAACTAAATATGTAAGATTTCTGTATTGAGTTTGGTTGCGTGGAAATGTTCTTTATCCACTTGTTTACAGTGTCTGTTTCAGCTGTGGTGTGTTTGAGGTCTGTAGAAAGGAGGATCAGAAGTACTTTTACTTCTGCTGCGTTTATCTGACGGATATAGATTTAAATTTTCAGCCGGTATAATCAATAATTAGCTGATACGATCATTGATAATGTCACATTGTTGTGTTTAAACAATCAGTTAATAACCTGTAGTTGTTACACACTGTATGCTAATAAAGGCTCAGATATAGTGAAGAAATATGGATGATTTAATAATCAGTAACTCTGTTCTATTGTGTTTACACAACAACAACAACAACAACAACAGTAAACAGTTCTGACTCTTAAAATGTTAATTTATTGTTTCTAATAAAGTTAATCCAAACTTCACAAACTGGTTTGTGTGTGTGTGTGTGTGTGTGTGTGTGTGTGTGTGTGTGTGTGTGTGTGTGTGTGTGTGTTGCAGACGAGCCGCTGAAGAAGCCCGTCCCGCTCCACGAGCAGACGGTGAAGGACGAGAAGGGACGATATCAGAGGTTCCACGGAGCGTTCACCGGAGGGTTTTCAGCCGGTTATTTCAACACAGTCGGGACTAAAGAAGGTCAGTGCTGCTGCAAAGGGGACCGGGGGTCCAGGATCCGGATCAGTGGTGGTCCAACCCTTGGATTAATTCAGTGTTTATTCAGACTGCGACTCCTGGAAAGTTACACATTAGAGCATCTCAGACCAAAATAATGGGGACTACAGCCAACCACACTCCATAGACTAATACAGTCATTTTACCTCACAGAATATCATAAAACACATCTCAAAGTGGACAGAAACTAAATAAAACTCACCAAACTGACCAACTCGGTTTGGTTGAAATAAATCCTTAATTCACTGAGTTAGATGAGAAGATAGACGCCACACTATGGCTGTAGCTATGGATGGATCTCCACCAGACTCCATAGATAAAACACTAATTTTACCTCACAGGTCATTGTAACATCATAACTTCATTCAAAGGGGACAGAAGCAAAATCACATTTATTTACCGATGCAAAAAGTCAGTTTGTTGTTTCTTGTGTTGTTGTGATTTTAGGCTGGGCGCCGTCAACCTTTGTGTCGTCACGGCAACAGAAAGCTGAGAAACATCATGTCAGACCCGAAGATTTCATGGACGAGGAGGTAGAAACCAAACTGCTGAAATGAATCGTGGATGGATGTGTTGTTTTTGTTATTATTGTTGATGTTATTGTTGTTTTTGTGTGTCAGGACTTTGGCGAGCACGGCATCGCTCCCAAAGAGATCACCACCAGTCAGGAGTTCTCGTCCGGGCGCAGAGACGAGATCAGAGAGAAGGCGAGAGCCGTCAACGCTCAGGCGGCGCTGATCCCCGGAGACACTCTGCTGGAGGAGCTGATTGCACCTGCCAGGTAACAGCCCGGTAACATCCCGCCAACAGCTCGCCAATAACCCGCCAACAGCTCGCCAACAACCCGTCAATAACCCGCCAACAACCCGTCAATAACCCGCCAACAACCCATTAATAACCCAACAACCCGCCAACAACCCATTAATAACCCGCCAACAACCCATTAATAACCGACAATAACCCGCCAACAACCCATTAATAACCCGCCAACAACCCATTAATAACCCGCCAACAACCCATTAATAACCGACAATAACCCGCCAACAACCCATTAATAACCCGCCAACAACCCATTAATAACCCGCCAACAACCCATTAATAACCGACAATAACCCGCCAACAACCCATTAATAACCCGCCAACAACCCATTAATAACCGACAACAACCCGCCAACAACCCATTAATAACCCGCCAACAACCCGCCAACGGCTTGCTAACAGCCCACCAACAGACACTGTTATCTCAGGAGGGTGAGTTTGTTCTGAGGTGTGCTGGTTTTGTCTCTCAGGTTGTCCATCGGGGTGGAGCTGCTGAGGAGGATGGGCTGGAAGGAGGGCCAGGGTGTCGGACCTCGTGTGAAGAGGAAAGCTCGCCGACAGCAGACCGGTACGATGGTCTCTGTTAGTTTTAATGGTGGAATAAAATCTGTATCATCAAAATACAACAAAACATGACTCTGACTCAGTCCGTTCAGCTTTATTATGAAGTAAAAATTATGATTTGTTGTCATTTATTGATGCTAATTTGGTGTTCTGCTGTCTCCTCTCTGTATGTAAACTTCATGCTGTGTCCTGTCATTCTGCTTTATGGCCTCGTCTTTGTCCTCCTCACAGATGGAGGTAGCAGAGTTTACGGCTGTGTGCTGCCCCCTGCTGGATCAGAGGACTCAGAGGTGAGTGAGACTACAGTTACTTGGGAACATGGGAAATAAGGTCCAGGTTGAAAAGTATGACATTTCCCTTTAAGCTGTGATACAGAGCTGTAACTAATCATTAATTATTATTATTACTATATTCAGATATTTGGTTTGTCTAAAAATAGGATAAAATGTTCCTCACAGTTAAACTGCCGACTAACATCCTCAAACCCAAAGATATTCAGGTTACTGTGATATCGACGAGAGACAAACAGGAGGTGTACCCAGAGGTTTGATGTGTGTTTTTGTGATCAGCTGATATTCTGTCGTTCTACGTTCAGAATGAATAAAAGTAAAATCCAACGTTTGTACAAACACACAATAAAACTTTAAAGCTGCTCCAGCATTAATGTTCGTGTCCCTTCCTCTCTCTGACCGACAGGATCAGGATGATGATGAAGAGTTTGCCCCAGAGGACGTGACCTTCGCCCCGAAGGACGAGACTCCGGTGGACTTCACCCCGAAGGTGGGGGTTCAGGGTCTGGGGTACCGCGGTCTGGACCCGGGAATGGCGCTGCTGGGCCGAGGAGCTCCAGAACACATCGACCTGTTCAGGCCGCAGTCCGAGGCGAGGAGTCGACTGTTCGGAGGCGCTCAGCGAGGCTCGCGGAGAGGAGGCGTGGCCGGACAGGTGGGACCGCTACAGTCTGGATCGTCTAATTAATACACTGAAAGCTCCACGTTGTAACTGTACCGGTGACCTTTGACCTGCAGGCGTTCGGGGTGGGGGCGATGGAGGATGATGATGATGAAGAGGTTTACCACAGAGACTCCATGTCCAGATACGACACTGTGCTGGGAGGAGAGGAGCCCGGAGACGGTCTGTACGGCTGGACGGCTCCGCAGCAGTACACCAAGAAGAGAGGTAGCGTCCATAATCCAGCCCAACAGCGCCTCCAGTGGCCCGTCAGCGAACTGTAGCCAGAGTCCGTAGGCTCTCGGAGATAAAGTTAGCCAGCTAACCTGTGAAGACTAGAACACGTCGTAGTAACGTAACTCAAACACAGCACACAGCACACTGAGTGTAACTGCAACCTCAGCTAATGTTAGCCAGCCAGATCAGCCCTGTGAGTCTAAAGGAAGCTAAAACAGAACACATCAAACATCCAGAACCTTTAATGTCTGTTTCCTGTTCACAGACAAAAGCAGAGATGCTTCGTATCTCGGTAAAATCCTGGAGGGATTCACTCTGGCCCAAAAACCAGCGGATGAAAAAACAGTAAGACTCTTCAAACGGCTTCAACCTCCGACTGTGTGAAACTCTTCATCATCTTCATCATCTTCATCTTCTGTCTGCCTGTAGATCTTCCCTCCTCCCGATCTGCCCAGAGACTATCGTCCGGTCCATCATTTCCGTCCGTCGGTGGATGTTTCGGTTCTCTCCGGGGTCAGTCCCGCGCTGGCCGAGGCTCTGAGGGCCTCCAGGGGCCACATGGTCAAAGAGGAGGAGCCACAACAAGGAGGACGCCACCAGCTGGACTCCGGCCGGAGGAGGACACTGCTGGGAGAGGACGCCCTGCAAGGTGGAGTGCAGGGGGGTCGTCAGATATCTATACTGATCAATCACATTGATCAGATATCGATCTATCAGATATCAGTCAGATATCTATCAGATATCGATCTATCAGATATCGATCTATCAGATATCGATCAGTCAGATATCAATCAGTCAGATATCAATTAGTCAGATATCAATCAATCAGATATCTATCAGATATCGATCAATCAGATATCAATCAGATATCAATCAATCAGATATCAATCAGTCAGATATCGATCTATCAGATATCGATCAGTCAGATATCGATCAGTCAGATATCAATCAGTCAGATTAGGGGTGGGCGATATGGGCAAAAAATAATATCTCAATATTTTTTGGGATTTTGGCGATAACGATAATCAGTCGATATCCTTTAAAATGTGATTAGAATTGTCTGAGCTGGACTTGTGTCCACCAAACGCGTTTACAGCGCTGAGAGAGCTCATAAACTCATTATCCGAGCGCCCAGCGGTGTTAAAAGTTGAACAGACTTCAACTTGAAGCGATCTGAGCGCTGCGCTAAAAAAAAAAACCATCTCCGCTGACATCTTTTTACCGCTGAAGGCGCTTAGCGCTCTGAACGCTGAAGCCCATAGGACCCACGTCTCGGCACTGAATCATCTGAAGTACCGGGAGCTTCAGGGACTGGAGGTGTTTGCATTTTCTCTCTACCATCACAACGCGCTGCTAAACTGTTGCAAGGAGGATGCTAGCGAGAGGTCACGTGATCACGTCATGTGATCACGTAGGCCCACTAGTTGTGTGACTGAATCCTGCCATGCTGTAGAGAGCGCTGCTGCTCCGTGTATTAATGGATGGGAGGAGTTTCCGCGGGCGTTTCATTGTTTTTGTCGAAGTAATTTAAATACTCGATAATGGAAATTTGCACATCGTCAAAACAACAATGACGATATTATCGCAAACGATATATATCGCCCACCTCTAAGTCAGATATCGATCAATCAGATATCAACCAGTCAGATATCGATCTATCAGATATCAATCAGTCAGATATCAATCAGTCAGATATCAATTAGTCAGATATCAATCAATCAGATATCTATCAGATATCGATCAATCAGATTTCAATCAGATATCAATCAATCAGATATCAATCAGTCAGATATCGATCAGTCAGATATTGATCTATCAGATATCGATCAGTCAGATATCGATCAATCAGATATCGATCAGTCAGATATCGATCAATTAGATATCGATCAGTCAGATATCGATCAATCAGATATCGATCAGTCAGATATCGATCAATTAGATATCGATCAGTCAGATATCGATCAGTCAGATATCAATCAGATATCGATCAGTCAGATATCGATCAATCAGATATCTATCAGATATCGATCAATCAGATATCAATCAGTCAGATATCGATCAGTCAGATATCAATCAGTCAGATATCGATCAGTCAGATATCGATCTATCAGATATCAATCAGTCAGATATCAATCAGTCAGATATCAATTAGTCAGATATCGATCTATCAGATATCGATCAGTCAGATATCGATCAATTAGATATCGATCAGTCAGATATCTATCAGATATCGATCAGTCAGATATCGATCAGATATCGATCAGTCAGATATCGATCAGTCAGATATCGATCAATCAGATATCGATCAGTCAGATATCGATCAGTCAGATATCAATCAATCAGATACTGACAGATTTCTTTCTGTTCCTCCTTCCTGTTTTGGTCCTGGATCTGGATCAGGTCCCAGTTCAGTGATGGAGCTGTTGAGACCAGAAGACAGACAGCGACTGCTCAACCTCCGCGGCTCCTCCAACGTGCCCTCCACCAAAACCACCTTCTTGGTCTCCCACGATGCCTTGCAGCCGGCGGGGAGGTCTGCCGTGGGCGGTTCGGCGTCCTGCGGCCTCCAGCAGGATGCGCTGGCGGCGTGGAAAGGCGTGCAGACTTCCTCACAGACCTTCAGACCGTTTGAGAAGAACCCGAGCAAACAGGCGCGCTATGAGCTGTACCTGAACCGCCTGAAGCAGGGAGACAAAGGTAGGACTACATGTCCCAGCATGCACTGCAGTCTGTCCGCTGTCGGTGTCAGACGTAAATCTCCTCCCTGTGTGTGTCAGACGCCCTGGAGCAGAGTCTGGACCCGGCGGTGACGGAGTGGGAGCGCAGCAGGGAGAGGGACGAGTTTGTCCGAGCGTCCATCCTGTACAGACCCTCGTCCTCCTCGCTCTCCTCCCGCTTCACCAGCGCGAGACAGCAGGAGGACGAGGACAGCGTGGAGGTCAGCCGCGACCAGGAGGTAGGACGTCCCTCTGGACCCTCAGCTGGTCTCAGTTAACCTAAATGTTTGTGTTTGTTGTGTTTGTTGTACAGTTTTCAATCTGAGTCACTGTTTGTTGTTGGTTGTTGTTTGGTTGTCAGGGCGACGTGGACGACAAACAGGCCGCTGTAAATATGAAGATGTTTGGAAAACTGACCAGAGAAACGTTTGAATGGCATCCTGACAAACTGCTCTGCAAGAGGTTCAACATCCCCGTCCCCTACCCCGGGTACCACACACACACACAGACACACACACAGACAGACACACACACACACACACACACAGACACACACACAGACAGACAGACACACACACACACACACAGACACACAGACACACACACAGACAGACAGACAGACAGACAGACACACACACACACACACACAGACACACACACACAGACAGACAGACAGGCACACACACAGACACACACACACACAGACACACACACACAGACACACAGACAGACACACACACACACACACAGACACACACACAGACACACACAACAGACATACACACAGACACAGACACACACACACACTGATTATTATAGAGACAGAACATCATTCACAATCTCACATAATGCTTTAAGTTCTTGAGTCTATAATGGTTCTGGTTCTGGTTCTGGTCCAACAGGTCCGGTGTTGTTGGTCTGCCGAAGGTGAAGAGAGACAAGTTCTCAGTGTTTAACTTCCTGACTGTGACTGAGAGCAGAGACTCATCAGGTACGCTCACAGAGTACCCTCCTGGTTTCAATGATTCCTGTGGACATATGTTCTAGTCTGCATATTCATTCAGCTCTGTGCTCACTGCTCCTCCTCCTCCTCCTCCTCCTCCTCCTCCTCCTCCTCAGCTCCTCCAAACCCTCCAGAGCCTGGGAAGAGGTCTCGCTGGGACGTTTCAGACCAGAAGAAGAGGGAGGAGGAGGCGAAGAAGAACGACCCGCTGAGCGAGCTACTCAGCGCTGCCCGAAACCAAACTGAGACCAGACTGGAACAAACCTCCGTACCTGCTCTACCTGCTCCTCCCACCTCCTCCAGGAGCAGCAGTCAGACTCCAGACCAGCGGACGGAGGAGGAGGTGAGTGAACCTGCAGACTTTACAGAACAGGAGTGTGACTGTGGAAATATCTGATCCTGTGCTCTCTTCATGCAGACAAAGTCAGAGGAGAAGAGGGAGGAAGAGGAGGAGGAGGAGGAGGAGGAGAGCAGGCCTCCCATGGATCTGTTCAAGGCTATCTTCGCTGGCTCCTCTGATGAGAAATCCTCCTCTTCATCAGAGGGAGACAGCAACGATGAGGAGGATGTGAAGGACGCAGGGGAGCAGCCACTGAACCTCTTCAATGTCGCTTCCTCCTCCGTCGCCTCCTCCTCCGCTGTCGCCTCCTCCTCCTCCGCTGTCTCCTCCTCCGTCGCCCCCGGCCAGCAGACAGGTGAGCAGCTGAAACACACACTCAGGTTTACTGGATGAGCTCCGGCGTTCCTGTTGACACGTTTGGTTTCTGTTTCTTTAAAAGCGGCGGTTTCGTCTCTGAACTCGACGCGACACATAAAGGAGGAGGAGGAGGAGGAGGAGGAGGAGGAGTTTGGTCCGAAGCTGCCGCCTCCTTCAGCTGCTTCACTGTCAACAGAGAAAGGTCAGTTTATTATTAAGAGGCTCAGTTAGAGATGTTGTGAAGATACGAACAGTTTGATGTGTTTTACTTTATCGTGCAGCTTTACACAGAAGCTCTAATGAAGACACATTCCAGGTGCATTATGGGAAATGTAGGATTCAGTGTTTTTGCACATTCTGATACTTTTGTTCATCTTAAGATTGTTTGGTCAATTCATACTTTGCAGTCACGTGATTACCATGGTTACCTGGCGGGCAAGAAACATATATAGTTACATATATCCGCACAAAAAATGAAAGTCTACAAAAGTACGGATAGCTATCTTTCTTCAAGAGTGGATGGGTTAACAACGCTGTCGTATGGGAGGTGAAAAACAGGAATATCTTCATAATCAAAGCAAACGTGAGTGTTACTAGTTAGCCAGCTAATGTTACCCGCTAACGTTTGCTAATGTTTGCATGTCTGTAGCTATACACAAAGTGACATCTGTTCCGTCGTGTGATGAAGTCTTCATCTGAATATGTACAACCTGCCTGCCCGCCAATGACAGCTTGATAAGTAACATTAGTTTAAAAAAAACCTTATGCCAACTAGGCTGTATCATATATGGCTAACAGGATGTCAAACATTGTAGCCTACCTGCTCATCCACTCCACATAGCATCAGACAACAGACAAGAAATGCCTTTAATCCTGTTAGCAGTCTGTTAAGTGTCCGGTATACTCGACACAGACCAACTGTTGCGCGACAACGTGACATCACGGGAGCACTGTGACTATCTATACTTGCGCGTGGTGGTCGCGGCACTAGTTGCAGTCTTCACCTGAACAGAGGTGTCGCTAGTGAGGAAAGGCTACTGACGTTTGCTATTTCTACGCACTAGAAGAACAAAAACTTTTTTTTTTTTTTTTTCCCCCAAATCGGTCGCGGAGGTTCTTCTAAATTTTCCAGCATATGTCCTCCTCTTTTCCAACATTCATGCCGATTTCTGGCCATGAACTCCGGCGTCTCTGTGCTCCTTCTTTGAAGGATCGTACAGATCGTCCATCTTCCTGTTTCCGGTTTGTCGCGCACAGCTGAATTAAAAAGAGTTGTGCGCGACATCGCGCGACCGGGCCAAAATCCTGGCGCACCAGGGAGAGCTACGTCATTTTGACGTCACGTTGTTGCACGACAGCTCGAATGCGTCGAGTATACCGGGCGCTTTAGGTTGTAACGTTAATGTCGTAGTAATTAGTATGCAAAGTAACTGTAAGTAAGTAGACGCAGTACAACAGTAACGTGTATTCTTCTTCTCATCATATCAAATCACGTACATATGATATATATATATAACTTCTGTATAGTTAAACTGGCGACGTCCCGGCAAGATCCTTGATTAGTTTACTGGGTTTGTTGCTGGAGAACGATGTTCTTGCCCGCCAGCTGGGCTGCTCGATTATGGAAAAAATCATAATCACGATTATTTGGGTCAAAATTGAAATCCCGATTATTCAAACGATTCTTTTTTTAAA